AACCCCAGGTTTTATGGGACTCGAAGTCCAGGACCCGGATCCCCAGGTGGGCACATCTGGAAGAGTGAACCTGCCGACTGCTCCCCCGCCCAGCTCCGCATCTGTGAGCCAGCAGCAGCCCAGGTGCGCGGGAGGGAGGTCGCAGCCCTGCCGCACAGAGCGCCGCGCAGCCGCAAGGTGGCGCCATAGTTGCAGCAGCGCCCGCCTGCTTGGGCCGCTCCAGATAAGAGTGTGTGGAAAGCGCAGCGGGGCTGAGACGCGACCAGGACGCGGGGAGGACGGACCAGCAGGACAGACCGACCGGGGGCCCGGCGGGCGGAGGGCAGCGCAGCGCAGCCACGTCCCCCCTGGATCCGCCGGCAGCCGGGCCCGGGGCTTCCGACATGCCCCCCAGGTGGGTCCTCGAGCTGGTGACGGGGAGGGACAAGGGATCCGGGACAGCCCAGTCCTCGCGCGCTGGCTGCCTCCGGCGCATCCTCTGGCGCGGGCGCCCTATCACGGCTGGCAGCTGGCGTTCAGATTCCGGGTGTCTCCTCTAGAGGACTCAGGACAGCCAGGCTGCAGCTTCGCGGCGGGTTCATGGCGAGGTCAGCGGCCCGGGGCCGGCTCTGCCCGCACATGGGCTAGAGAGGCGAGGGGAAAGGAAGGGGAGCTGGCGGGCGGGGCTGGCAGGGGCGCTGCCCTGGCACAGCTCGGCGCCTGGCAGCGGGGCGGGTGGGGCGCGGGCTGGGAGCCGCCACTGCTGCGGGGAGGGAAGTCCGGCAGGGCTACGGCTGCAGGTAACGGGTCGGAGGCCCTGCGGACTAGGAGGGGAATGGGGCAGGGCGGGCCAGCGGGCGGGCAGTGGAGCTCAGAGCAAGGCTCGGGGCCACGTCCTCCTGGCCGCCAGGACTGGGGGCCAAGAGGGAAATCTAGGAGCGAGGGACTCGGATTAGCGCGCTCCTCTCGCCCAATCTGAAGTTGGAAAACTTTCCCCCAAGTTTGAGGTGGCTGAATTCCGGGACAGAAGTGACCGAGGGGAACTGGGGAGGGAGGCGCCGGGTCGGTGAATGTAGAGCGGAGGCCGCTGCCGGACCAGAACGCGGGTGGGGCGCAGGCCGGGGTCAGGGCCGCAGCCGACTGCGCACTGTGCCCGCCCGGGGCGCTGCCCCCTCCCTCCCCTGGGAGCTGCGTGGCTCCCCCCTCCCCCCCACCTGCTTCCTGCCTCAGCCTCCTGCTCTAATATAACGCCCTCCCCGCGCCGAGGCCCTGCCTTCGTTCTCTGCCCGCCACGGCAGCGGCTGACTCCGCTCTCTTTGACGCTGTCCCTACCCCAAATAAGGTTTTGACAGCCCCCCGCCAGGGCTGCGCCGCGGTGGGCACCTCGCTCCCGTCCTCCGAATCATTCCCCAAAACTGGGGCAAATTCTCCCGAGGCGGGAGGCGCTTCTTACTCCGCTCCCTTTCTCCCCAGTTGGGCAAACTTCTTGGCCCTGAATGACTTTTACTGAAGCGGACATTTTACTTAAATCGGGTAACTGCCTCCGAAAGGGTGACTTCGTCTGAACACTTTTCTCTTGGAAGTCCCCAGCACCCAGCCTGTGTGCCCCGCAGTGTCCGGGCCTGAGGCACACAGGCTAGCCTAGCCTCCTGTCCATCCGCAGCTGTTCTCTTCCTGCACTGTCTTCTTCTTTTGGCTGACTGGCCTAGGCCGCCACTCCCGGAGGCCGTGATCCTCCTGCATCAGTGCCCAGGCCCTGGCTCTCCATAATGCCCCTGCTCAGCTGAGGGGAAGGGAAAGTGGAGGGGAGAAGTACTGGGCTGGGTGCAGTCGGCCAGGGCACTGAGCTGCTCTTATACGGCTGGTGTGTGTCCCCGCAGGAGAGTGTGCTGGGCAGACGATGCTGGACACGATGGAGGCGCCCGGCCACTCGAGGCAGCTGCTGCTGCAGCTCAACAACCAGCGCACCAAGGGCTTCTTGTGCGACGTGATCATCGTGGTACAAAACGCCCTCTTCCGCGCACACAAGAATGTGCTGGCGGCCAGCAGTGCCTACCTCAAGTCCCTGGTGGTGCATGACAACCTGCTCAATCTGGACCATGACATGGTGAGCCCGGCCGTGTTCCGCCTGGTACTGGACTTCATCTACACCGGCCGTCTGGCAGACGGTGCAGAAGCAGCGGCAGCGGCCGCTGTGGCCCCAGGGGCCGAGCCAAGCCTGGGTGCAGTGCTAGCGGCAGCTAGCTACCTGCAGATCCCTGACCTCGTGGCGCTGTGCAAGAAGCGCCTCAAGCGCCACGGCAAGTACTGTCACCTGAGGGGAGGTGGCAGCGGTGGTGGCGGCTATGCCCCCTACGGGAGGCCAGGCCGTGGCCTGAGGGCCGCCACGCCCGTCATTCAGACCTGCTACTCGTCTCCAGCCGGGCCTCCGCCACCACCCACCTCCGAACCTCCGTCGGGCCCCGAGGCCTCAGTCAACACGCACTGTGCAGAGCTATACGCCTCAGGGCCCGGCCCCGCAGCAGCACTGTGTGCCCCCGAGCGCCGCTGCTCGCCCCTCTGCGGCCTGGACCTATCCAAGAAGAGCCCACCGGGCTCTGCGGTTCCCGAGCGGGCCCTGAGCGAGCGCGAGCTGCCCCCACGTCCGGACAGCCCTCCCAGCGCGGGCCCTGCCACCTACAAGGAGCCCCCGCTCTCCCTGCCGCCGCTGCCGCCGCTGCCCTTCCAAAAGCTGGAGGAGGCCGCGCCCCCGCCCGACCCGTTTCGTGGCAGCGGCGGCAGTCCGGGACCGGAACCCCCAGGCCGTGCCGACGGGCCCAGCCTCCTCTACCGCTGGATGAAGCACGAGCCTGGTTTGAGTAGCTACGGGGACGAGCTGGGCCGGGAGCGAGGCTCCCCAGGCGAGCGCTGCGAGGAGCGCAGCGGAGACCCGGCTGTCTCGCCCGTGGGTCCCCGGCTCGGCCTCGTGCCGCCGCCGCGCTACCCTGGCAGCCTGGACGGACCTGGCGCGGGCGGCGACGGCGACGACTACAAGAGCAGCAGCGAGGAGACCGGCAGCAGCGAGGATCCCAGCCCTCCCGGCGGCCACCTAGAGGGCTACCCCTGTCCGCACCTGGATTATGGCGAGCCAGAGAGTTTCGGGGACAATTTATACGTGTGCATCCCATGCGGCAAGGGCTTCCCCAGTTCCGAGCAGCTGAACGCACACGTGGAGGCTCATGTAGAGGAGGAGGAGGCTCTGTATGGCAGGGCCGAGGCGGCTGAGGTGGCAGCCGGGCCCCCTTTTGGGGGCGGTGGGGACAAGGTCCCTGGAGCTCCGGGCAGCTTAGGAGAGCTGCTGCGGCCATACCGCTGTGCATCCTGCGACAAGAGCTACAAGGACCCGGCCACACTGCGGCAGCACGAGAAGACCCATTGGCTGACCCGGCCTTATCCATGCACCATATGCGGGAAGAAGTTCACGCAACGCGGGACCATGACACGCCACATGCGCAGCCATCTGGGCCTCAAGCCCTTTGCATGCGACGCGTGCGGCATGCGCTTCACGCGCCAGTACCGTCTCACAGAGCACATGCGCATCCATTCCGGCGAGAAGCCCTACGAGTGCCAAGTGTGCGGTGGCAAGTTCGCACAGCAACGCAACCTCATCAGCCACATGAAGATGCACGCCGTGGGCGGTGCGGCCGGCGCGGCTGGGGCACTGGCGGGCCTAGGCGGCCTAACCGGCGTCCCCGGCCCCGACGGCAAAGGCAAGCTTGACTTTCCTGAAGGCGTCTTTGCTGTGGCCCGCCTCACGGCGGAACAGCTGAGCCTGAAGCAGCAGGACAAGGCAGCTGCGGCCGAGCTGCTGGCGCAGACCACGCACTTCCTGCACGACCCCAAGGTGGCGCTCGAGAGCCTCTACCCGCTGGCCAAGTTCACTGCGGAGCTGGGCCTCAGCCCAGACAAGGCGGCGGAGGTGCTGAGCCAGGGCGCTCACCTGGCCGCTGGTCCCGACGGCCGGACCATCGACCGTTTCTCTCCCACCTAGAGCACCTCTGGCCGCCCGCCACGCCGCTGCCCTGCGGGCCCGGCTCACCCTCCACAGAGCGCGGCAGCGGCCTGCCCGGGACACTCGGAGTAGCTGCAGTGGTGCCGCAGAGGCGATCCCACCGCTCTGCGGCCTCACCTAGCCTCACAGCTTTGTGCCTTAGCCCGGGGTTGGGGTTGGGGGAAAACCCCGGGTGGGGGTGGGATGGGGGAAGGGAGATTTATATTTTTGATATCAGCGTTGACCAAAGGAGACCCCGGCCTCTTCCCGCCTCTTCCTGTGGTTTGTCGGCCCCCTCCTCCCGGCTCCGTGCTGCTGTTGGTGAGGAGGGGTGTCTCTATTGGGGCACTCCCAGCCCTACCTCCGGCCCTTGCGACCACACCCATTCTCACTGTGAATCTCCCCGCTGGGGTCGGAGCGCCGGGCAGAGCTGGGGAGGGGGAGGGGACTGAGCCTGCCGGAGGGCCCTTCCCGCCTCAGCTCCAGCCCGCCCCGGGACTGATAATGTGAAGTTCCTCATTTTGCACAAGTGGCACTAGCCCCAGGGCCAATCCTCCCCTCCCCAACCAAGGCTGCGAGTTCTGGAGCCAGGACAGACAGCCTTGGCCTACCTGGTCTCCCGTTCCTGCGGTGTCCCCTTCCCTTCCCTGGGGCCCCGGACCATATTTATTGCATGCGCCCCGGGTGGCCCCCCCATCCCAAGCCCAGTCTGGGCTGGGCTGGAATTCAGTCTCCTTAGCTCCCTCCTCCTCAAGTTTGTATATTTCCTACCTTGTACACAGGCTCTTCTAGAGCCGCTTCCATTTTCTATACTCGAACCAAACAGCAATAAAGCAGTAACCAAGGTCCCCAATCCTCGCCACTCTCTTCTGCTACCCGTACCAGAACCTTGGTGGGCTGCAGCAGGATGGGTGGAAGGGTGCATGGACACCCACGTGTACAGGTTTGACCTATTTCCTTAGCCCCAGAAACAGATCGGCAAGAGGTCAGGTCATTTCATAACTAAAATTTATTAAGGAAACAAAACCAGTGCTGCAAATGGGACAGAGAAAAGAGATGGGTTCCCACCCACCCAGTCACTGGCCTCAGCCAGAGAAGAGTCAAAGAAGAGCCAGGACCCTGTAGTCCCAAGCTGCCAGTTTTGAGGCCCTGAGGGAGTCACACCCTCAAGACACTGGCCTTGATCTGCACAGCTCCCCTCCTGCTGGCACAGTCTTGGGCCTTTGGGAGGGCACAGCTACTCCCATGCTCCACACAGGCTACACAGTCAAACATTACGCTGGGGAAGTTCCCTTACTGGTCCCATCAAGATGTACCCTGTCTTCCCTAAGACCTTGCTTTCCCCTATCTCTTCCTCCTCAGCCCTGAGTTGGAGAAACTCATTCATTGCAGAAAGCCTCTTGGTGAGGTTGTGAACATGGGTCCCAGCTGAAGAGCCAACAGAAAACTTCAAAACTAAAGAGGCCCTGCACCAGTTCTGGGAAATGGAGGGTTAATGCTGGAAACAAGATAAATGCTTTAGGCTCCTCTAGGTACTGACCATCCCCCGGGCTGTAGTAGCCTGGAAACTTCTAGAACACAGGGGATCAAGTGGGAATGCCTTGCCTTATTATGTTCCTGTTGCACCTGCTGCAGTAGCTAAGAAGCCCCATAGCAAGGGACTGAGGTGAGGAAGTTAAGGGCCCAGGGAAGGGTAGAAGGGACCAAGAGGGAAGGGAAAGAGGATGAGGGGATGCCAAGGGTGGTGGTGACTAGAACAGTCAAGAAATTTCTGGAAGAGGGAACTACAGCAAAAGGAAGGCAAATGAGAGAGGGAACAGAAGGCCACCCAGGAAGCACACGTCTGAAACCAGATGTCTCTTCCCTGTAGGCCCATGACTGTCTAAGGGAAAACAAGGGGCAAAGTGCAAGGGACCTAGATTGATGTGGACAGGAAGAGGAGCAGCAGCATGGGTGTGTGTGTCTGAGGTGGGGGTAGAAGAGGTGGGGGCCAAGGGCTGCTGTTAGGGACATGTTGTCCAGAGCCCAACTTGAGTTCGCAGGGGAATCCAAGCCTCAGGGAGCTGGACACACACCCTGGACACTCTCTTCATGACACAGCCCAAGCCTCTTGGATACACTTAGGACATAAGTTCTATAGATGAAAGGTACCTGTGGTTTCGCCTGCATTTGAAGGAAACACTAAAAATCCTGCCCCATCGCCATCAGAGAAAGTGGCGGAGTCCCTGGGTGAGCAGGCCTTTCCCATCCCTGGAATGAGACTGAAGGGAGAAAGGCTGAGGCACGGGCAGCCCATTTGGCTTGCCCACTGTTGTTGCTGTGGCCAGCCACCTCCCCGCTAAATCTTGGCAGCCCAGGCGGGTCCCAGCAGCTTCCACCAACCCTTGGGAGGGGCTCTGGGAGGAACAGCTCCCCCACAGCATGGCCACGGCGTGGGTCGGAAGAGGATGGTTTATTGTCAGGATGGATTGGTGGCTCAGGCACGCGGGCATCTTCCGTGCTACACCTGGCACCTGGTGGCTGGTCAGAAACGGTTCCATTGGGGTGGGCCCTGATGTGGTCCCCTCAGCCCACCTGGGCCCATGCGAGGAAGGCTGGGATGTCCCGTACAGGCACATTCCTCGTCAGCGCCTTCACACGCAGATTCCGGTCGTCAGTCAGCAGCACCACCTCCCTCAGCAGACGGATTGGCTCCTCTGTCAGTACAGAAAGAAGGGCATAGTTGAGGACAGGGCGCAGGGGACAGGCATTGCACTGAAAGAGAATGTGGTCCTGGAGAAGGCAAGACAAGCTTCTCTCCAGAATCCAGACTCTGAGTCAAGGGTTAGAAAGGACCATGCATGGCTGCATGGCTGCGCTTCTGTTTCCTACACAGGACTCTGCTTTGCCTTGGGCTTAAGAGATGCCCAAGACCAGTTCCTTAAAGGACTGTGAACTGGGGAGCGGGGAGGGCAGAAAGCCTTTGCTGTCTACTCCTTTTGACTGCCTGGCTAGCTCTAGATTCACAATACCCTCTCCTTTTTGCACATTTTCTCTTTCTAAAGCCAGGAGATTGATATTTTATACATCTTGAGGTAGAAAACCAAAGATTAATAGAAAGCAGATACAGGGCCTCAAGGTGTGGGGAGAGAGGTTAGCTCAACACAGCAAGATGAGACAGGCAGGGGTCCCTGAAAGGACCATGCCAAAAGAGCCCTGCAGCTACAAGCAACTTATTTTTCTCTACTGAAGTAATTTATGCATGTCTAACAACAGTACAGAAGGGTAGAAAAGAAAAGCAGAGTTGAGATTACCCTCCAAGCTCTGTCTTGTATCCCAGGGAGGGTACCCTTCCAGATTTCTTTATGCTCACTTATAAGTACATATACTTGTGTATCTGTATCTGTATCTTAGTGTTTTTTCTTACTGCATCTTGATCATACTAGCAATGTTTTATTCAAATTTTATATGCTTTAAAGGTCTTTATATATCAGCACAGATAGCCTTCATTTTTTTTTTTAATTGGTACCGGGATCGAACTCACGATCACGCGCTTGCAAGGCAGGTGCTCATGCCGCTGAGCTAAATCCCCAGCTCCTAGCCTTCATTTTTCAGATGATCTCTTCAGCACAATCTATTATCTCCCTTCCCTTCCCTAACCTTTAATGTTCAGGAAAGCATTTAAAGTGTGCCTAGCACTCTCACAGGTGACCCCCACCTTGGCATGCCCACTCCTCAGTCTCAGGCTGGGCATTTCCTCCCAGAGATCTGGCAGACAGCAAGGCACAGGAAATGCCCTGCTGTGCTCACTCCCGGACTGCGTGGGCTGGTGGGGACAGGGGATTGCAAACATCCACATCTGACCTGAGTGGTTTCAACTTGCCAGCTCCATGCAGGGAGGCTAAAAACTGGCTTTCAGCCTTGGGTGGAGCCTGAGGGATAAGGGAGGGAGAGGCTCATGGGGTTGATGGCAGTAAGAGAAAGGGGCAGGAGGAAAAAGGGTGTGCAAGAGCCGAGAGGCTGTGGTGGGCAGAGAAGAAAGCAGTAGCTAAGGGTAAGGGGCGCTGAGGTCACCTCTGCTGCCTGGGCCTGGCCCCTGTGGGAGTGTGAGTGTGGGGTGGAGTGCTGGTATGTGGTGCTAGGTGGGGCTCCCAGTTAGCTGTCTGGGTCTGTCTGCAGCCCCATCACTTCTGCCCTGGGCTTCAGATCAGGAGAGTCTCAGGCCTTAGGTCAGCCAACCAAGGCCCAGTGTTGCTGGCAGGGGTCTGCAGGGGTTTCTGTGGATACTTTGAGACATTTTTAACAATAAACATCCTCTGTTTTGACACTGGTAACTTCACTTTGTTAGAAACCAGAAACTGTCATCTTGTCAGGCCCCATCCGCCATAATCCACATGATTTTAAAATTCAACATCGTTTACATATAAACATTTGGTGACGGTTTCTCTGTGAATCTGACAAGTTAATCTGCTAAGAATTCACACTGACAAATGAGGTTTGATTACACCAGCCTTGCTGATGTAATTCTGATAGAGGCAGTCCCCATGATGGCAATGGGTTTCTGTAGGCTGCTTGGATGAAGTGGGAGGTGGTAGAGGACTAGCAGGGTCAAAGCCAAGAAACAGTTCTGAGGCTAAGCATTTATTGAGCCATCCTTCCCAACAACGCCTTCTCCAATCCTGTCTATCCCTCCATTAGGAGTTACCCTTCTAGGAAGCTATCCTGGGGCAGAGCCTAAGTCCTGCTGGCTCAGCCAGAACTCCTTTTTATCACTTGAACATTCCAGATCTGGCCCTAAGGGACAGTACATGCAAGCCATGTGGCACAATTCTTTTGAGGAACAGGAGTTACGGGATCAAGACTAAACTCTGGTATAGAGACTCAGGAGCGAGGGCTGTACCAACACGGGTAGGAGGAGAGGCAGGGGAAAGACAATCCCTAAAGCAGTGCAACAGCCAGGACTAGGAGCATGAACAGAGAAGATAGACGGATGACAGATGGAAAAACAATGAGACTACATAAATGTAGATAGAAACCAAATGGTGAGAATTACCAGCCCTAAGATGACAATGAGCAAGGAGGTGCTAGGAATTCCTTCCAACAGAAATGTCGAAATCCTGGGGGGAGCCAGGAGCAGAAAACCCCTGAGTGTCACTGACCCTGAGGAGCTATGCAGGAAGGAAGCTCAGGATTGAGAGTGAGGTGGCCAGGCACTTGCAAGAGAGCCCTAGGGTGGGCCTTTAGCCCAAACATGAAACTTCTCACCAAACAATTCTTTTTTTTTTGTCTTTTTTTCCTTTTTATCGGTACTGGAGATCAAACTCACGACTGCCTGCTTACAAGGCAGGCGCTTATGCCGCTGAGCTAAATCTCCAGCCCCCACCAAACAATTCTTAAAAACTGGGGTTCAGACTCAGCAGTGAGTTCTTATTTAGCTCCCAACTCCAGTCAGCCTGAGAAACGCTATGGTTTATGGTCACAGAGACCAGGGAGAAAGGCCAGTCCTCACTGGGGAAGAACTTTGGCCCCAACCCAGATACAGGGTAAACATTCTAAGAAGATAAGCATGGCCAAGAAAATGGTGTGTGCCCACTGGGGGCTGTGCTTCTCAGAGCTGCAGAGCACTGGGCTCAGGCAACCACAGCCAGAACTACACTAAAGCATACTGACATTCTTGCTGTCAGAGGAAACTCAGAGGACTCAAGAAAAAAAAGTAGATGTAGATCAAGTGGGAAACCTCACTGCTCAGAGTTGGGCTTCTTGGGCTAGGCTCATCCCTAGTCAGCCCAGGATCCACCTGACATTCTCTGGGGATGAGGAGCTGTGGACGGGAGCTTCTGAAAGGACAGGAAATGGGCTGGCTTAGACATGCACGGTATTCCTGGGACAGAGTCAGCAAAAGGTCACTTCTCAGGGGCTGAGGATGGGTATGGTGGTGATCAAGGGGGACAGATGATCTGAGGCAGAAACCAAGCTGTACCTTTGCTGGTGGGCATGAAGTCCTTAGCTTTGTCTTTGCAGTAGTGGAGGCAGCAGGAAAGGATCAGGTCATCATTGTTACCCTGGAGGAAGACAGTGTGAGAAGTACACTGGGCAGGAGGGGGCGCCATGTGGAGGAGGCAAAAGTATACACTTCCAGGGCCACATCCCAGAGTTCCACCCATGCATATTTTGCCCTGCTTGGCCAGGTCTAACTGCTGTGTGATCTACGGGACAAGGATCTCCCATGCCCTGGGCTTTAATGGTAGCTGTCCTCTCAAAAGCCCAGACTGGCAGGCTTTTAGACTTTCCTTCCTGGAGAGCCTGTTCTGACAATGGATTGTTGTCTTCCCTTCCTGCTAGGGTCTCACCAGCTGGCCAGTGATGTCCTCACTGCGGAAGGCGATAGATTCAAGTTCATTGCCCCGGCTGGTGAGGGCTCGCAGGCAAGAGTCCCGACTCTCAAATCGCCGCTCGAGGAACTCAATGGACTTCCGGGCTTTCTCTTGTACCACACGGGCATAGCCTCCAGCCCGGTGGTCTGTCTCCTGCCCCTTGGCCAAGCCGTCCAGCTCATTGATCACTGTGAGACAAAGCCCGCATTGTATTAGTCTCAACAATCAGCAACCATTTCTGCCTTTACCCTAGGCTTCTGCCTACTGATTGTCCTAGCTAGCTACTTTAGACTACAGAGTACATCTCCCCACTGGAGTTCTTCCAGTGAAACCAGGGTAGCAGGGGAACATGAGGGGGGGCAAGAGGGGTCCTAGACTTTCTTTTTTTATTTTTTTGGGGAGGATGGTGCTACTTGAAACTAAATCCAGAGTCTTTGTATTGAAGCTAGATTATCAACCCTTTATTATTTTGAGTGTCTCAATAAGTGACTAAGTTGCCCATGCTGGGCTAAAAATTCATAATGTTTCTGCCTCAGCCTCCTAGAGTTCTGGGATTAGAGACACCTGGCTAGGAAGAGTCCCAGAATTTTACACTGTCCTATCCCCTTTCTGCCTCTTCCTTTGGGGCATTCCCGCCTGCTTGGAGGAACATATAGGATTTTCTACAGCAGCAATACTCACAATAAACCTTGCCCCTCGAAACATTTCTAGTTACAAGATCAAATTAAAAAGGTTCCTCAGGAGAGGCAAGAATATGCAGCAGCTAAAGGGAAAGTGAGGCACTCTCTCTCAGCTTCTTGGGCTTCCACCCAAGTAGAGGCAAAGTCCTACAGCCAGCACCTCTGGCAGAATGCAGGGAAGTCATCACCGAGGAAAGGCAGTGGACCCTGGTATTCCTCAGAAACATATCCCTGGCACATTTCCTCCTTGATACTACATGTGTGTGAGTGTGTGTGTCTGCCTGCCTGCCTATGTGTCTGGGACATGGCTTCATTTTCTGGTGAAGATTCTTTCCAAAATTCCAGCCAAAAGCCTGAGGTCAAGTGGGAAATATGCACTCCTTGGGGGCTCCGGGAGAGTTTGGGGTCTGAGGCCTCTCCTCATTACAATGATTCATGGCTTGGGGAAGCGACATGAGCATGCTGTTCCATGGTAAGCCTGGCACTCTTTGTCTGGATATTCAGAGATATTTCTGGTAAAGCCCATGTGAGAGGGCACACACAATCACATGATGCCCACGCTTTTAGTAACCTGAGGCTGCCATGCCCACACAATGGGGCTGGGGATAATGGTGGTTGGGTGTATAATATAGCAAAAAGAACATGAAACAGGAAAAACTGGTATTCTATCCCAAAATCTGCTTTCCTGCTTCCAAACTAAACAGGCTTCAAAGGAGAAGCTTGTTTGTGCTTCTGCACCAGGCAGGACTTCTTGATGCTGGGGTCAGGACTAAGGAGCACAGAGCAGGTTAAAGAGCACAAGAAACAAGCAAGGAAAGCTGTCATCTTAACCTTTTGCTGCTCTGGGAATAGCGTAAAGACTACCAAGGAATACACTGGAGAACAGGAACTCCTCCTTACAGCCAGAAGAGAATGCAAGGATCTGCCCAGCTGAGACAGGTTCGAAGAAGGTGGCCTGTGTGTACAATAGAGCTGTCAGTTCCAAGGACCTCTGAGGGTCATCTACTTTGCTCTGCCTGTATCCTCAGTTTTTTGTTGTTGCTCTCTGCCTCCAAATTAGGATTTCTCTAGTAAAACTGCAAATTCCTCAGAGCAAAGGCTGGATCTCTTGGGAACATGAAGACTGAGCACACAGTAAAGGACACAATCAGTGCTGGTGACTAAGAGCTTTGCTACCCTGCAGAGGCATCTGAGGCACCTTCTTGGTTTTATGGCCCTCCAGAGATGTCAGTAAGCACTCTTGGTTGTATCTTTTCCTGACCATCTAACAAAAAACAAAGACAAAAAACAAAAAAAGTTCATTTTTTCCTTTACTCTAAAAACCTCCTGGGTCAGAAAATAGAGACACATTCTGAAAAGTAGCCTACTACGGGACCCAGTGATGGAGGCGGGAGGCCAGGACAACATGATAGTCTTGCTGCTTGGCCTTACTGACAACAGTTGCTCTTCTTTTGAAGTACAGAAAGTTTTTCCTTAGGTCTAAAGGTCTGAATGTAAGAGGTTCTGGCCAGGCTGGCCACGGCCACATGGGGAGGGGGAAGGAAGACTGGGAGGGTGGAGGTAGGGAGGAGGGCTGCTTCAGTGCCAACATTCTCAGGTGGTGCTAACGTGTTTCCCACAACCCCCCAGGGTTCTACAGGCTCTGCAGGGGCGGATGTTTCCTGCCCTTTGTTTCCACCCCATCTGGTACTAAGACATTTGGGACTGGGAGGGAAGGCCCACTAGAACATCTTGGCATAGATGTCAGAGGTGGCTTGGCAGGCAGACTGCCAGTCTGGTGGCTTTTCCAGAAGACAGAGCTCTCAAACTTGTTCTAAGTGGCTGTGGAGAAGGGGGACATTCAAAAGGCTGGGCTTCACAATCATCTCCCAGATCCTCTGCCTACACAGTACAGCCATCAGCTGTATTAGTTATATCAACTATATTGGACAAGAGCCCAGAGCCCAAAGCCCACTCTGAGCATGACCCACCACAGAGCTCCCAGAATTAAAGGTGTCCAGTCTGTCTCCTGGAGGCAACCCAGCTGGACTGCTTTGACAAGAGGATAGAAAAGCAAGCTACTTGGTCCTAAGATGCTGATCCTGTACCAGTACCAATGATCATACAGTGGTAAGCACCCAAGGGGTAGAAATCCACAGGCATGAGCCAAGGGCATGCTCTGGAGGATTTCCATCAGCCTGGCCTTAGGGTGACACTAGCTAGAAGAATGCTACCTCGAACCAACAGAACGATCATGAAAAGCTACAAGACAATCAGACCAAAGGCATCTAACCACTTCAAAATCCTCCCAGCCTCCCTGCCAGACCACCCAGCAGCACTGCCGTTATCTGCCAGGGCTGAGTGTTTACCAATAACGGGAACCAGCTTTACTGTTTTACTGCAAGCTTTATAAGGATAAAAACAAGGGCTGGGCTCATGCAGCCTCTGGTTGCTGGGACACAGGAGTCCATTTGCTCAAGCAGTTTAAGCCATGGATCAGCCATAATAATTTGAACTGCTTTGATTATTAAACAATTTTCCTTGCCCCACGCATTCCCTACTTCCCTGCAAATCCTGTCTTACACATGCACAGCAGGGCTCTGCCTGCCTGGCCCCAGGCATGGGGCATGTGTGGAGAGGGCTGCTGCACACACACAGGTCTGCTTTGCCCTCTTGCCCGGCTCACCAATGAGGGGAACCACCAGGATGTATTTCCTGCTCTCCAGCAGCTGTGCCAGACTTGTCAGGTGGTCAATGAAGCCGTTGGTGTCTGGTACGAGGAACAAGGGTCTGATCTCCAGCTCCATCTGCCTCATCTGACTCTGGTCTTCCAGGACAGCCTATAGAGACACAGAATGGTCAGGGAGCAAGCAAGCAAGTGGGGCATCAGGGCCACTGACTCACAGTGCGTCACCATCTTGCCCCCTCGGTAGGTACCTCTTCCTCCTCAGTAGGCCTGAGGGATACCCTCAAAGACTGAGCAAAGCTTTGAGCAAAACCCAGACCATATTCAATAGCCCATGAGATGGGACATCACTAAACCCTGCCTAAAACTGAGACAGAATACTGATAATCTTAAAAGTAACAGTTCTTGGACCAGATATATAGCTCAGTGGCACAGTGGGTGCCTGGCAAGCACAAGGTCATGAGTATGATCCCAAGTATGGAAAAAAACAAAAAAAGTAAAACTTCTCTGAAAGAAGGATTTTGAGCTAAAAATAAGTTTTTGGGCAAAAGCTTACAGAGTTAAGGTCCATAGGTATAAAAATGGCTTGACATAAATTATCCAGATAGCATATATGGAAGTACTTCTCAGTCCAGGTACTTATCAATATCTGAGCAGAATCTGTTATTTCAATTTACCTCACTTTGTACTTAAACAAACAAACTCACTAAAAATACAATTTAAACCCAAAGTTAAACTCAAGGTAATGTAAAAAACAAGGGTATTAGCTGACCAGTAATAACTGGTCTTCTGTTGCTACAGGAGCAGCAGCGGGAGTCTGTGCAAGTGAGATGAGTTAAGACCAAACTCACAGGTGCAAAGAGTTGATCAGAACTGTTGCCTCCACTCTCCCCTCACCTGCAGAAAACGTCCCTGTTTTTCTGTTCTACTTTTGCTCCTCTGCCACAACCCTGTACAAGGGATACTTATCATTGACTTCATCTTTTTTTTTTTAATTGACTTTAAGTAGGAACCGTGCCTGCCTCTAGTGAGTTCGATTTCTAGCACCAAAAAAAAGTTTTTTTTTTTTGGTACCAGGCATCAAACTCACCACCTTGCGCTTACCAGGCAAGCACTTGAGCCACTGAGCTGAATCCCTTTTAAGTCACTTATTTCCCCCTTAGCTTCTTTTTCAGCATTGCTATCTGGAATATCAAGGATTTGATACCCTAGTGATGTTAACCAGTGCAAGCTGAATTGCCATAATAAAAGTCAAAGTGTTTCCCCTGTACCACTTAAAATCCCTACGTGTGGCACCAGTGATCTGTGCACCACTCCTCCTGCCTCAGGAAGCACACAGCCCAGGGCTTTCTGTCCTACAGGTTTCATATGTCTCAAGGAAGCTCCATGCACATCTGTGAAAATCCAATGTTCTCACATCTTACAGTCTCATATGCAGCAGTAGTTCATTGAGTTGTATATGTCACTACAGAACAGGGTCATTATTGTGCTGCTGCTTCTTCATGGGCAAGGAGCAAACTGATCTGGTACCTGCCAAGATAGCTGTGCTCCCTAAGTAGGGAGTCCATGGGAACCAACATAAACCTGGCAGCGTAGCAGGCACCAGCACCCTCATCCCCTCTAATGGCCTTCTGCCACACAACGACAAAGACACAAATGCAGGTAGGGTGCTGGGGAAGTCTATGTGCGTGCCAACTGAGATGGGGCCCACAGTGCTGGGTGTGGCCATAAACAGTCAGTAAAGAGGCTGCTCAGGCTTCACTGACAGTGACAGTAAAACTGAAAGGGCATGCCTTCAAATGATGGGGGTGGCTTCTCTGTGACCTGCCAGGGACCTTTCCCTATGAGTAAACTGTTGCTGCCACTGCTACCACAGCTGGTGAAAGGCACAGGCCAAGGGACTCTGGCAGCATGAGAAATAATGCTGAAGTCTGCTGAAGTCTTCCTACTGATCTCACGACATGAGGGGAAAGTACCATTGCTCCAGGCCCCCTTTCCAGGGGACTTAGGTCAATCCCTCTCCCCAGAGGGCTGCCAAAGAGAGGGTAGCACACATTTCACCACTCTTGCTTGGGCATTTCAGAAGAATAGCAAGTGATCCTACTCAGGTTGAGTGACCAACTCACTCTCTTTGTCATGCAGAGAAGCATTAATATTTCCACTCCTCCTTTTTTCAGGCTTCTAGTCACTGTGTTGCTTTTCTGCTGCTGGGAACACTTTTTCTGGGAGCCTAGGTCCTAAACTTCTTATCTTTCTGACTGAGGGAACAGAATAAGCATTACCACTTGTTTTGAGGAGGATGAAGGACACTGCCATCTGTAGTGACAGGGACCCAGGTTCTAATTTAGCACTGTACTTGCTATTCCTCTCACATCAGTTTTCCCCTGACTTGAGACATGTGTGAATGGTTAACTCCTAAGATCTACCCTTATGCTGGCAGTAGGTACAAGGGTTGTTAAACCAGGAAGTCTGGGGTCAAAGTGAGGTGCTGCAGGTGTTCTTATGACAGTACAGAAGCAAAAATCTAAGAACAGTGTCTAGGGAAGCTTTAACTTCCTTGGGTTCTTGAGGCTCTGGCTTGGAGCCAGAATGGTGAATGGACCACAGACTCTTAGAAAGGTGGCAACTTTGCTGGCTTCCTTGGGGATGGGACAGGGTCAAGTTGTGTGTGGGTGGTCAAAGTTGGGCTGCCCTCATCCGGTCCCAGGGACGCCTGCAGACAACTTCCCTTAACCTGGCTCTGCCCAGTGAGTCACCACACAACTGCTTCCTGTTCCCCACATGCCCTCACGGAATTTCAGGAGGTTAGATGAAGCTGTGTCTCCTCTTCTGGGGTACCAGAGGGCTTGGGGAAAGTCGTATCTGGGTCATGGGACAGGCTCAGTTCCCTTAAAAAGAACAGCAGACCAAAGGACTTGAGAGAGTCCCCAGGCACTCTTCTATGGGTGTCCAAATTTCCGGCTCTTTCTCAGTGGCGCGGGGTGTGTGTGTGTGTGTGTGTGTGTGTATTTGCCCTCCTGTGTGTGTGTGTGTGTGTGTGTGTGTGTGTGTAGCATTTGCCCTCCTAACTTTTCCAGATTTTACCCGTCGGATTCCTGGCAGCTGTGCACAGCGCCTGTGCTGTCTGTCACGTCCCATTCCAGTCTCTGGGTCGCACGGTGAAAAAAGGACACAGGATGCACAGGGAGTGAAAAAGTGATGGTGGTGGGGAGAGTGCCAAGTCCCCACTCAGCCATCGGACACTTGGGGAGAAAGGGGAAGCACACTGCTGTGGAGTTCAGAGGCCGGTAGTGAGATTTATTTTTGTTTGTATGAGTAAAAAGCTGCAGAAGCCTATGGTGGGGTGAGGGGGGCGCAATTGGAATGCTGAGATTCAGACCGCCCGCTGTTGGCCTGGAGTCAAGTGGGCTGACCCGGAAGGTGAGTTCCACAGAAACCCTTCCCTTCTGATGGCAGTTAAGCCCGGGACACTCTGGTCTTAGTCTTTTGGGAACCTCAAGAAAGGACAGGCTCTCCAAGCTAGACAGGTGGCAGTAAGGCTTATGTTGGTATAAAGTAGAAATGAGAGAAAGGATGTAATTTTGTTTCTAGAAGGTGTCAAGTAACTTTTTCTGAGGTACAGGGGCTTCTTGGAGCTAGTCATCAGCGACTGGGAAAAGATATATACACTAGCACCTAAAGAGGAAGCTAACAGGCATGGGTCTTCAGGAAGGACCTTACAGGTTAAACTCCTCCGTCTGTACAGGGGGACTGATTTTATAATGCTGACTGTTTAAAGTTTAGACACTGAGAATTAAATAAAAGCAATGCTGACACAGAAGTTGTGGAGCTTGAAAAACCTAGATCATGAAACAGGATCAAACCAGGAAAAGACTTTTTTAGGTCTTCTTTCTGCTCAGGGGCTCCACAGGGAGTGTGGCTGCTTCCTTCCTTCTAGAAGCATGCATCCCAGGCCCCTCTGGCCAGAGCAGTCTTCACCAGAAGTCAGAGATTTTGTAACAGCAAATTTCCACATTTACCTTGAATGTGAAAGGACCTAGCTAACTGCCTGACACTTGTATTTGTAACAAGTATCAGTTTCCTTTCTTCCTGCCTGATTCTGTCTTGTACTTTCTATATATCCAGGAGGATAACTATCTGAGAAAACCACTAGGGAATAGCACTGGCATTGGGGAAGGTGGGTCAGAGAACTACTAGTTGCTATTCCATGACTTATATGAGGTAGGTGCAATGGCATGTATCTATAGCCTAGCCATTCAGGAAGCTAAAGTAGGATTACTTGAATCCAAGAGTTCAGAGCTATTAACCAGGGCAATACAGGTAGACCCTACCTTTAAAAAAATTCATGATCCTGTCCTGTCCTATTAAATCAATCAATCAATCAATCTATCTATCTATCTATCCACCCATCCATCCATCCACCCACCCATCCACCCATCCATCCATCCATCCATCCAGACAGGGTATCCCTGCATTGCCAAGACTACTCTAGAACTTGCAATCTTCTTGCCTTAATCTACCTAGTAGTTGGGATTTACAGGTGTTTGCACTGTGCTTGGGCCATACTATAGAAGCAAGAAATGGAAGAAGGGAGGGGCTTTTAACAAAAGGAATAATGGGTAAGATAACTACAGGGGGAACCAAGGGGTACAGATAATGAGTTTCCCCTAGGAGCATCAGTGTCAGCATCTTCATTTTTGTGCACTGCTAACGGGAAAATTGCTACTTAGATTACCTTTTCTGGATGTCCAAAAATACTATAAAGTTTAACATATATTACTTTTGTGTATATGTGTGTATGTAGAGGGCACTGGGAATGAACCAGTGCCTTCACACTGACCTACATTCCTAGCCCTTTTAAATTTTTTTTATTTCAAGAGTCTCTGAGACTAAGTTGTCTAGGCTGGGCTTGAACTTTTGATTCTCTTGCCCCAGCTTCTCAGAATGCTGAGATTAAACATGTACATCACATGCCCAGCTCCTGCATTCTTTTTAAAAATTGTAACAACCTGTTTGCTATTTCTTGTGTATGAGGATTGACCTTATTTTCAATCTAGATTTTGAGGTGTTGAAAGAGAACTGCCTATTTGGAGTTTCTTTTATAATACCTTATAGAGCTTGATGTGTTATAGGAGTTCAACGAACTAAATCAGAGTATCAGAGCTAAAGAGCACTTTAAGATAATCTGATTAAGAATTATTATTATTATTGGCTTTCAAAATGTGATAGGAATTTATTTATTTGCTACCAGGGATTGAACTCACGACCTCACGCTTACCACGCAAGCACTTGAACCGCTGAGCTAAATCCCTGGCTCTGATTGAGTTTAATGGATAAAGGTTGTTCTGAAAAATATGAAGAAATGTTCCTTTTCCTATGGGGAGGAAGTAGCAGAGCCAAGCATGACATCTCTAGCTTGCTTCAAGTAGCAGTGTAAGCCAACAGCCTGACCATTCTGAAAGAGAAGAGAGGATACTGTGGATGCTGCTGGACGCAGTGAGGTAGGAGCTACTGGAGCAGATAGAAAACCTAGCAACATGCTGTGTGGAGGAGAAGTTGGAGTGAGCTGGGGTGGTGCCCAGCTTCGCAAGCTGATGTGCTTTCCTGCCCTGGCGTGAACGTGCCCCTAGACTGGTAGTGTGTTGGCTCCCACCCTGCCTCCGACAGCCAGGAGCCAGGGCTGAGTGTCTGTCTTCCGCTAGTTTTCCATACAGGTGTGGGGGGCTCTGTGTATACCCCATTGTTCCACAATGCACCCCCCTCCCCAAGCTGGGTGGCAGTGTGAATGAGCTGTGGCTATATTTAGAATAAAACTCCTGGGGCCACCACAAAGGACTGACTGCATCTTCAGGAGGGTGGGTGGGCGGGAAAGGGACAGGGGAGAGAAGCTATTTTCAGAACACATGTCATTCCTGGCTACAGAGCAAGACTGTGGCCATAATGCAGAGGGAAACAATAGCTGTGGTCAGAGGAAGAGCCTGTTATGTTTCAGGTGGGATGTTTGCAACTGCTCAGGAAACCTGACCCCGCCCGCCCGACAGCAGCACAAATCACAGCACAGCCTCATGGAGGCAGGGAGGAGGCCGGGGGATTCACAGGCCTGGGCCAGGATTAGGTGCCAAGAGGCCACGCCTCATGCTTGGAGGAGGATTTTCAGTGACTGCTTGGCCCTGGGGGCCTGGTTAGGAATGAAACACTTCTGACCAGTTTCTCAGACAAACCAAGTACCCTGCGTTGGTCTCTGGACACCTCCCAAGAAGGCAATGAGAATGAAAAGAACTCAGGCGGAAAGCAGTATGGTGGGCAGAACCAGCCCAATATGGAGAGCTGTTTCAGGCAACATGGAAAAGCCTGACTGAGCCGGAAAGTGCGGCTTCAAAGCCCCCAGTGGGAGGACTTGGCACCTCTAACATCTAGGGGCCTGCCTGGGTACTGCAGCTCCAGCTGCACAGACCCTGAGCTCCCCACACCCCGTTTCTGACCTCCATTCGGCCCCACTCACCAGCCTCTGTGCAATGCCGGAAGCAGGGAGGGACAGGCTTCACAGGGAAGCCAGGCCTTACCTCCCCCATCCTCACAGATGAGCTGAGGCCCAGGGGTCTAGATGGGAGCAGGGAAGTGGGAGGTGTGGCTACAGCCCCAGATCTCACTTGGATTTTATAGCCACCTTGGGGGTCAGGGGGATTCTGTTCAACCCCATCTTCATATCCCCTTCCCCAAACATGTGTGGTTCCTGTTTTGCAGCATCTGTAAAAGGCACTGGGAGCTGGGGACTTGCCTTACACCTCTAGGTTAACACCCTGGAGACTGGTGGAGTTTAGCGCAGTGTAATTTACAGCCCCATCTCTCCGATCTTTGATTCTCTTTTCTTCCTTATTGTATTAGTGTGACCTAGGTACCTGCCAACAATAATGGCCTCTCTAGCTTGAAGCCTCTTCTCCACTCCCAGGACAATTTATACCTTTTCCTTGGGATTTTCCCCCCTTAAATTAAACAAAAAGAGGAAAAATAGAGAAGGTTAACATGGGTTTGGCGCGCTGAAGCCCCGTGGTTCTGGGCAGGGAGCCAATGGCCCGAGGGCACACACATGTGTGTGCTCTCCCAGAAGGGCCTTCACCGGCCCTGTTTTACAGCCACCTCGGCACAGACTCCAGGGTTCACGCATATGGCCAGACAGATGTGTCTGGCTTACGTTCAAGGCTGGAAAATGAAGAATTATGGAAGTGAAGGGCCCCGGGCATTAAAGAGGGAGGGAGGGAAAGGGGGAATTTTTCCTCTGCTGAGAAATCCTCCTGTGGCTGTGAGGCTGGAGGAAAGAGGCTGACAGGAGGCAGGGCCGCCAGCAGCAGTGCATGTGGGGCCTGTTCTTAAAGGGACCACATCAGCTCAGGCTTTGCTGGCCAAGAGCTCACCCTTACAGCCAAGGGCTGAGCAGCCTCCTCTGGAGGAGCTGGTGGAGCTAGTGGAGACCTCCTGAACAGCGCCAACCAGGGCACTGCAGTCAGGTCTTACATTAGGTTTCCAATTATTAGAGTACTAGATATTGCTGGAGAGGCCAGCATGGACACAGAATTCTAAACAGGGATGGATTTGTAGAGCCTTTGATCCCACAGCATTCTGTATTTTTTTTAAAAAGAATAACACAAATTGAATCACTTGCTTAAGATTTGTCTATTACATGGTACACTGTAGGACATGAGTTCAACTCCACCACCATCTGTGTCCCCCAGTCACCAGCATGCTTACTGTTCAACACCACTTGTTAAACTGAGCTGAAAGCATGGCCCTTGAGCCCAAGCACTTCATACATTGTATGTGTATAACCCTGAAATAACTGTAATTTGAGATATGATAGCAGTTTCACAAATGAAGTATAAATCAACACTACAGGAACACTGAACAGAGAGATCAATTTCTCCTGGGGAAAACAGGGAAGGTTTCACTGAGGAAATGGAGTTTCATCTGAGGATTGAAGAAGGAATAGAATTTCAACAGGTAACAGGAAATGTGGAGCAGAAAAATAGTAGTTTGGCTTGAGGGACAGCATCACAAAGACCAGCGAATGGGAAATGACAGCAGATATCCAGAGGCAGTGAGCAGTGAGGAAACGAGTGTTACTCTCCAGGCAGGAGGCCTCAGTGACTAGCTGGGCACTGAGTTCACACTGTCATTCATTCTGAGGCCTCTAGCAACTCTGACAGGTGCTACATTTCTGTTTCACAGACCAGGAATCAGGCTTTGCCTGGAAATGTGATGATGGGAGAAGTTAGAGAAACAGATAGGGGCAGATCAGAAAGCCTTCGATACCACAGAAGAAATTAAAACTTTATTTTACTAGCACTGATGATTATTTTAAAGGCATTGATGATTTCTGAGCAGTATAGTAGCTCTTTTTGGAAGAGTAACACTCTGGAGGTAGGAGGCTAAAACACAAGTCAGGCGGTCAGACTGTGAACTACACAACTCCAAGAGGGGCCGTTCACGTGCTACAAGGTCAATGGCAATCCTGAAGTTGTGCACTGCAAGGGACTTGATAACCACAATCAAAGCAAGTCTCTGAGACAGGAAAGCAGTAGTCATGGGAATAGAGAGGATAAGGGGGAATAAATGAGTGAATAGACAGGGTTTGATAAAAATTGGACAGGAGGGATAAATAGCCAGGATGGAATTTAAGACGATGCTCTACTGGCTACCATCTATGAAGTCAAGACATCAACTCAGCTTGCTGAGACTAAGAAAAAATAGAAAGGAAGGAGACCAATGTAAAAAAACAGAAAAAGCAAAGAAAAGGGTGATTAGGAAGGTTATGAAGGGGTGGTCTGGTTAGCAGAGAAAAGACAAGGTCATTCATTTGTACTCAGAAGAGGAAGGAAACTCTGGGGTCCAAGATGGGTCCTCGGTGATTTCTGGCACAAGTTTCTGTAACTCCTGGGTTGGCAGTCAGAATATGGAAGCAATGAGTTGGGATGGTACTTTCAGGAAGACTGATGATGAGGAAGAAAAGGGCCAGAAGAGAAGTTTGAGGATAAAGCTGCTTTGGAGCCACACAGAACTTTACACACAGACTCATGGGAGCGCTGAGCAGACAGGCACACTACAGCAAACAGGCTGACAAAGGAACAGTACACTTGACTCCACTTGTCTAATGAAGGACAAATCCTAATGGCTATTCATTCCTGTTCCTAGAGCACGGTGATTAGAGAAATGACTGTGTGCCATGCACTGTGTGCAGGTGCTGTGGGAAGCAGGCTTCGCAATGCTACCGAGGTAGATGCTGTTATCATTTCTTACTTTGTAGATGAGGACATAGGCTCTGAGAAATTAAATAATTTGTCAGTGTCATAAAGCTAGTTAAGTGGTGAAGCCTGGAATGTACTCAGGTTTGTCTGACCACGTGCACTAAACACTATGTCCAGAAGATGTGAAGATGAAGGGAGGGCTAGAAATGGGTATCCCTAGAGATGCTGAGGAGGGTGGCTTAATTCTTACCAATGCACACAGTTGTCTTTCCTGTCTGCTTTGAGCACTAGATAAGGAGAAGTAGATATAGAATGCAAGGGGACAGGCTAGGGAAAGCCATAGTGAGAAATGTGCTGGAAGAGAGGGTTTGGGTCCCCTGAGAGAACTGCCAGTGGGGGAATCTCCTTCCTAGAGATGAAGTAGCTTCTCTTTGGGAAGATGTGGAGAGTACCTTGCCTAGAATGGGCTCTTCCATTACATGGGAACCCACATCATTAGCTTGTGGCTACGGTACCCTCTCTTTCCCACTGAGAAGAGGTATTCTCCATGAGTTTCTTGGTACAGTGCAGGTGGGCTCTGAAGCCCTGAGACTGCATGAAAGATTTATGTGTAGTACCACTGATAGAGCCTCACAGAGTGAAAATTCCTCAGGTTCTCTGAGAAGACTCAGTCTTTGCCTTGAGCTTGCGATGAAGGAGACTCCAGGCATGAACATACACATGTTACTAGAATGCAATGGTAAAGTAAGACAACAGTGGGTTATAGCTGGAGAGAACACTGCAAGACCTTTCCTGAGAGGAATCTTGCTGGCTCCTACTTCCTGTCTATACCCCTCACATACAGCCACCACCCTGATGGGAACCTCCCTCCCCAGGTGGGCCCCACCTGGATCTTTTCTTGGCGACGCTGCTGCTCGGCTATTTTCCTGGCCAGAGCCAGTTTCTTGGCCCGAAGTTCCCTGATGTCATCTTCGCCTCCACTGCCTTCAGCCTCTGAATCTTCCTCAAAGTCTTCAATTACCACGTCTTCTTCCTTCGGGTAGTGCAGAGCAAAGAGGAGACTGTGAGCCCATGGTACTTAATGAATCCACCCTCTGCCCTTAAAGTTCCCGTCCTATGCTGACTGGGACCATTCACTATCAAGGATCCTATGGTATTTGCTTTCCTTGCTCAGGAAAGGGTGAGTGGAGAGAGGTAGTTTTGGTTTCCTTCACACTGCTCTTTTCTACATTCTAGGGCTCTTTACTTACACAGACAATATCATAAGTCATTCACAGTCAGACATGTACAATTACATGCTTGTACTCATACTTCTCTTTCTATCCTGAACATACTCATAAAGTCAAAGTTGGGCCTATCTTCATTCTGAAGTCACAAATGATTCAAGGGGTAAACAATAGAGAAAGTCAAACCACCAATTTTAATCTAATTCATGCTAATAAGTTAACGGGAATTGACTGGTTAACAGCTGGGAGTTAGGCAAGGAAGCTCCCTTGGCCCAGACAGCATCAGGAGCAGATGCTGTAGCTCAGCAGACCTTGCCCTGGTTTCTTTTTAAGATCACAGCCTAGTGGTATGGGGATTGCTGGGCCCTATTACAGGAATTCGCATGACATGGCCTTGCTCAGCTGCCCTCCCAGGGCCTGGGCAGTGTAGGAGGGGCTGGCTAGCTTAAGGAGCCTCTTGCCAGGCTGGTGGAGCCTTCCCCAGGGATGGTACCTCCCTGCTGCAGCCTCAGCTCTCAGCAGCCATCACTCTCCGGGTGGTCCCTTCTCCATTCTTTAGTCTCACTTTTGGCCTTGGTCAACAGAAAACATGCAGCTGCCCAAGACAGCTTCCTTTGAGGGACAGAGTTAGCAGGGACACATGCGGAGTGATTCAGCAGAAGAATTTTGTGATTCTAACAAGATGATAGTAACTATGCAACAGCTACCATACTCAGTGCTGCTTACTGGTCATACACTGGCATTTTTCATCTTCACAATTGCCTATGAAATAGATGCTATTACTATCCTCATTTTTGTAATTTTTTTTTTTTAAACTGGGGATTGAACTCACGACCTTGAGCTTGCCAGGTAGGCACTTGTATCACACTGAACTAAAACCCTGGCTTTTTTTTTTTTATATATAAATGAACAAACCAGAGTTTAGAGTTAAATAACTTTTTTTTTTGAGTTAAATAACTTCTAAGGTTATATACATGATAAAGGGTGCAGCAGGGACTCCAATGCAAATAAGTCTGACTCTAAAGTCTGAGTTCATGTCATCATAATGAACAAATCCATAGGCCACAGGGTTAAGGTCCTGAATAAAGACAGAAAGTCCAGATTTGGTCCTTTGTGGCTCAGCTTTGCCAGGCCCAGGCCTGTTTGGGACAGACTGCTCTCTCCTCTAAGTGGGATTATCTTGGTGGAGGGTGGTTAGTAAAGGGTATGGATGGGTAGTTGATGGAAGAGAGCTGGGATGAAAGATGATGGGTAGTTTGGTATCATGCCTGAGGAACTAGGCTCTGTTCACTTCATAAAGAAGGTCTGAAGAAACATTACCTCTACTTCTTCCCATCAGCTTCAGTGACTCAGTCTTGCAGCAGAGATGAGATCTGAAGGTGGGCTAAAACTGCCACTGAACTGACAGGTCTCAGGGGTCTGTTCAGTCACCATTCATTTGTCAACCTCTGTCATGTTTTGGAAAGTGAGATATTATGTACATTCACTTTCTTGTGCAAGTGGTTAACCTGGACAGGAGCAAGTGGAACAGAACGCCTGCCAGGCCTCTGAGGAACAGTGGTCCCTTCATGCTCTGACCAGAGATATGCAAGGCTATCGTGGGCCCTCAGGGAGCTGGACTGAGGTCAAAGGACGGTCATAGAAGCTTGTCTGAGGTTTTCAAAGCTCTCACAGCAAACGAGGAAGTGATGGGTTATGAAATTACACAGACTAGGGTAAGTAGGGTTTCCCAGGGGCCACTAACATAAAGGAACCCAAGAGGTTCGTGGGAAAAGGAAGAAGTGGGCAGCTTGGCGAGGGTCACAACCTTTGTCTATTCAGTAAGCGTGGGGAGACTGAGTGTGGTACAGCTGAGATCTGGGACCAGAGAGCTGGTTTGTTCCTTGGAATAGGGGAGGAGGCCCTTCTTGCCTAACTGGACTTATGCCACAGGTACTAATGGCCTAAGGATATCTCTTATGGAAAAACCTGCAGAGGTGTCTTGTTTGCTCCTCCATCACCTGCCTCAGCTTTCCAGTGTGGATGAGAGAACAGACCAAGGTACTAACCCACACAGTGCCCAGGGCTGTGGTGGTACTACCCTGCCCAGTCCAAGCTTGGACACCTCCATGACTTTAATAACTCCACTGGCGCCTTCCACACTGACAGCTCATTCTTTTCCGTTATTTCCTGCCCAGGTTTCATTTGGAGAGTCTGGAATCCTAGGCTCAGCTATATCCCTGGAACCACCTCTGTCCTGGAAGCTGAGTCCTGTGTCATCAGGGGTGGGGTGGGTTCTCCAGCTATCCTAATAAAGCCAGTCCAAGACTCTGTTGCTCTGAAGACTCTGTTCCAAAGGTGGCCACTCTATCACTGCCTCAGATCCCAAACGACAGCTTCCAGCTGACATCTGGCTTCGTTGGCCTGTTGCTGATTTCATCCTTGTACCCCACCCTGCTCAGCCAGGCGCTTGAGACCGATGTGGGCCAAATGACTGTGTTGGCCTGTGGGTGACCTAGACTCTGGCTAGAATTGCTTCCGTCCTTCTCTTAGTCCCACGTTCCTTCCCACCTAAGTTCCCACTGACTTTCACACTCTGGAGTAAAATGAAGGAGTCAAACTTCAGGCAAAACTGAGGTGTGCACACATTTAGTGTTTCACCCAAACACATAGCAGCAAAGCCAGCAGTGATGCTAAAATGCACACATACTCTGACACCAACACAGTTTACTTAGAACCCACAGATAGCAAGAGAGCTGGCAGCAGTTAAACTGACATACAAACTAAGCACACCAAGATCTATATCAACAATCACCCTCAGGCTGGGCACAGTGGCATATGCCTGTAATCCCAGCACTGAGAAGGTTGAGGCAAGAGGATCGCTTGAGTTTGAGACTAGCCTGGGCTACAAAGTGAGCTCAAGCCCAGCCTGAACTGCATAGTAGACCCTGTCTCAAAAAGGTAAAGCAAAACAAGACAAATTACCCCCAGAAAGACATACATACACAGCAGGGCAACTGCCAGTGAGGTTTGCAGGCTTAGGCACACACATGTAAACACACACACACACACACACACACACACACACACACACACACACTCACACACAGAGTCTGGAGTGAAGCAAGGACTACAGGAATAACCAAGGGCAAACAAACAAGATGAGAATTCCTTAATCACATCAGGATGTGCAGGAGGGAGGGAGCAAAGGAGGGAGAATAGGCGCGGGGAGGGGTGATTTTCCACATGGGCTAGCAATGTCAGCTCTTCCTGTACGAGTGTTGGAGGCTGGAGTTCAGGCCTGTGCTTCGCTGAGCTCTACACATCTATAAACTTGATCCTCAGCCTGAACCCTAACACCCCCTCTTCTCCCCTCCTTTTCCTAAGCCTCCAGAGCTGCACATTATTAAACTCTTTCCCTTCTCCTCCAATTCGACATTAAAAGGAAGCATCTGGAATGTGTAGCACAGTGAGATAGAGACACTGGGGTGGACTGGTAGGAAGGGACACCAGCAGAGTGCACTCTTGAGAAGCTGGCTGACAGGTCAACATAGGCAGTGCTCTGAGATGTTATAAATAACCCTGAGTAGAAGCTGCAGACATGGGCAGGGGGGACGGGAGCCTTCCCTCTGCCACAGAGGGCTCTCCCCACATAGTACCTCATCTTCCAGTTGTTTTCCCTCTTGGCTTCCCATTTCCTTTCCCATGGTGTCTGGGACGGGTGCCACTGACACATATTTTCCACCCTTGAATGCCAGCAGAGGTTCTTCTTGTCCACAAAGGGCTTCCAGAAAATACTTCAGCACTGTGACCCTTTTGCAGTCGGCTGCAATAACCTACAGGGCAAGAAGGAGAGAAGAAAAACAGGATTTTCTGAAGAGGAAGATGAATCTGAGAGACATTGTTGACTGTGAGGCATATGACAAGTTGTCAAAGTTACTGGGAAGGAAGGGAGAGTGAGCAGGTGTGTGCATGTGTGCATGTCTGTGTGTGTACGGAGGTGAGTGAGGGCTGAGACCAAGGTATTCTGAAGGTCTCTCCTTAGGTTATCTTTGAGGCAAGAAACAATGCCATGTGCTCTCAGGTGTTATTTTACTAAAGCCTAACATTAAAAAAAGACATAGAAAAAGAATAAATTAAGTTTTTCTAAGTTTGGAAAACAATCAATCAGGAGCAGGAGAAGCAGGAGGAGCAGCATGTAGAATACTGGGTGTCACAAAATGCCACTTTCTGGCACCCTTATTGTTCCTCTCCACTCTTCTCCCAATCTAGCTCCAGATCTCACCGGAAAAACTTGCAGCCTAGGTGCAAAATGAATTATGAGGGCTCTCTTTTGGTCATTTAGTTTCGACTAGGTCCCTCTGATATGTTCCTGTCCCACTTAAGTCACAGTCAAGAGACTGGCGTCGGGCAGTGTTTCCCCTAAGCTTTGCTCCTGCTGGGTTTAAATCAGTTGCTCACACATGACCACATCGACACACACATTGGTGCTTTCGTACAATTTGGGACTGATTTAGCAGACATGAAATTCACTGCCTTGAGCAATCATCAAATTTGTCAAATCATCAAATGTCTCATGAAGTGTCCACAGACATCCAGTCTGGGGTTCTCCCTGCAATACCTCACACACATGCCCTTATACGTTAGCTGGAGCCCTACTTGTGTTACTGACAGCCTCCTCCATTGCCCACTGGTATCCGTCTCATCCTCCCCAGACTCGGAGGTCCTATCTTCCCTACTGACCGATATAGTGCTCACCATGGAGCTGCTTGATTTGCAGCTCAGAAACTGATGATCAGTCCATACAGGAAACACACTGCCATAGCCAGATAGGCCACAGGAGGCAACCCCTTCATCACCAGTGACTCCGGCTCATACTGAATGCTGGCCCCTAACAACTCCCCACTGTTGAATATGAAAGGTACTAATATGTTGCATAATGCAGTGCAGGACTCTAACATGGAGACTGTTGGCTCATGGTTTTATGGGCACACATGTTATTTCCTCATCCGGATAACAACCCCCTTAGTAGTAAAGACCACAACTCCTACTTTTCATACCTCACAGCAAGGGCTGTAAGCACAAGCTGAGTACACAGCAGGCTCATAGTAAAGGCATTGGGAATTCAGTGGAGCATCCACAGTGAACAGAGGAAGCAGGCACAATTCATGAATTCCCGTTGTGGAAATGAGCACTACGCTGCCAGCCATTGGTCAGGGAAACTGCAACACACACTAGTCACTTTTGGGCCTCATTCTCTACCACCATCTCGCCTGCCTAGCCATCTCACTAATGGTCCTGTTACTACTACAGTCTGGCATCTCAGTACCACCTTGATCTCCACCCAAGAGACTGACCTCAAAAGTTCTCATCCACCCAAAAGAGGTTTAGAGAAAAGGATAGCCTCTGGAGCTTGAGGCTCCTGGTCCTGGGCTTAAAGAAGGAAGGAAACCTGCTTGGGCTTGGGCAGGTAACCACGGTCCCATTGCGTGCATTCAGACATGTGATGAGGAAGGCTAGAATACAGAAGCAGGAGCTAAAAGGCATTAAAGAACAGAGCTGAAATGAGTAATAGCCTGGCAGGCAGCACGCACAGTGGCCTCCCTGCATCCCCAGCCTCTCACTTGCAGAGGAAACTTCTGCATTTCCACAAGACTGCCAGTTTCCTCTCTGTGGTCTAATTTTAACCACCTTGTCGTTACAGTGTGTGTCAGCCATCTGACCTCACTATGACCTCTGACCTTATGCCCCAGCTACTGCTCACACTATGGAGAATTATGTAATGGGTCCAGGACTTTCCTTTTTGGCATGAGGCTGCTGCCACTAAATGGAGAGGAGGTGGGGCTGATGAGGTGAGGACAGAGAAGCAATTCATGATGGTCCTTGGCTCACCTGGATGGTGAGAGGTCCACAGATACTCCTGTTGAGCGGAGGCCAGAAATCTGCCCAGGAGAGATGGAGGGTATACATGCAGACAGGCAGGTAGGATCTTGGATGGTACACTGCATGGCTCAGGAAGAAAGTATGATTCCTGGCCAAGAGGGAGAAAGGCCACATGTGTGGACGTGGGACTCCTGGAGACGGGGATTTCCAGGGCACAGCGGGACCCAGGGATGCAGACATCCTGAGCCTGCCTGTGGCACATCCTTAGAGGATCAGTGAGAATTGTCCAACACATGGCTAGACAGCAGAAAGGGACCCCCCTTCTTTCATTTCCATGTCTTTAGAAGGAAGCTGGTTTCCTTGGGGATTTAGTCTGCTATAGCCATTAGTTCTTCCCTAGGGCAAGGACACTCCTATCTCACAAAAGAAAGGGCTTTGATCCACTGGGGACTCTCGAGTTTGTTTTAGGAGGTCTGAAAACAATACTGTTTGAATAAAGCAGAATCACCCAGTCCTTTGGAAGAATGTCCTCTCTGACCTGTAATCCAACTGGTAAGAAGTCAAGGTTGTGCAGAGTTTTGTTGGGCTTCTACAGTGCACTGTGACAGTGAGAAATGTGGAGTTGAAGCTATTTAAGGAGATGGAGAATCTGAGAGGCAGGCCAATCTGAGTGCACAGGAACACAAGGAAACCACCTATCTTTAGTCCACTGCAAGAATATTCTACCTCAAGGAGGGGCAATAAACCCCAAAAAAAGGAAAACCATAGCTCTGTTAATGCTGAAGCTCTTTAGGAGCTCTTGTGAATATTCTATTGCACAACGCCTCTAGCATTTGAGTCAGGGCAAGAGAAAAAAAAGCCATACAAAACAAAAGAAACAAAAATAGTTTATCAGGTTTAATGGATATTAAGATGAAAAAAGCATTTCAAATCATCTTCAAAAAGCAAACTCCATTGCCTGGCAAGCTTGAGGTCATGAGTTCGATCTAGTACTAAAAAAAAAAAAAAAAAAAAGAAAAAAATGGGGCTGGGGATTTAGCTCAGCGGCATAAGCGCCTGCCTTGCAAGCAGGCAGTTGTGAGTTTGATCCCTGGTACCAATAAAAAGGAAAAAGACAAAAAAAAAAAAAAAAAAGAAAAGAAAAATCAAACTCCCAAGGCCAGGGCTACACGATGAGTTTAAGGCCAGCTAGAACTACATAGTGAGTGAGACCCTGTCTCAAAAAAGCAACAAATGAACAAACAAACAAATGAACATACAGAGTATGTTCAAGATTGTCTTTTCTTGGTAAAGAACTTCTTGGTAGGAGAAAGGTTAAAGCTAGGTTCCCTGCTCGGAAATGAAGGAGTCCTGATGAAGTTTGTGACGTAACCCTCACAATAATTCTGCTCATGAGTACACTGTTTCATTCTGTGTCAAAGAAAAGCAGAGAATGTGCTGGGCGTGGTGGCTCACGCCTATAATCCTAGCACTCTAGCACTCGGGAGGCTGAAGTGGGAGGATCCTTGCGAGTTCGAGACCATCCTGGGCTACAAAGTGAGCTCAAGGCCAGCCTGAACTGCATAGTGAGACCCCGTCTCAAAAAAGACCAAAAAAAAAAAAAAAAAAAAGGAAAAGCAGAGAGTGTAAAGGCTATGCACATTATGTCTTGGGTGATCCCTAGATTCACTAGCGAAGAGCTGGGCAGAAGCAGCTTTCTTCCTGGGCTGTGACAGGTGAGGCTGGGGTAGGGTTAGAAGTGGGTAAAAGGCTCATAGAATACCACGGAAATTTTCTTAGTGTATCTTTTGAGTGGCAATCCTGGCTGCCTGAGAGACACTCACTTCACAGATTATTAAGAACTCCAAAGTTAATAGACAAAATGCCTCAAATGAATCATTTTAGCCTTGAAAAGAACACTGGGGCTTTAGGTCAAGGAACAACTAAAAGAAAGACACCCAAAGAAAGCCCCTTTCTCTTCCCCTGAAGATCATCTGAGGCAGCTTGACCCACAGGCAGGAACTGAAACCTTGAGCTTCAGGGCTCCCGTTATCACCCAATCAGGTCCACCAGCACAGAACTAAGCAGAAAGGAAAACCATGTGTTTGATGTGGTGAGGTGATAGTGGACCCCTGGCCTGTTCCAGGCTGAGGTCCTTCAAGAGATACTTTGAGCAGGCAGTGGGTGAGTGGGGGTGAAACCCAGGGGAAGGTGAGGTGCTGAGAAACTCAAGAAACTCTAGGCCAAGAAAAGACTGGCCTACCAGCCTGGGGGATCTGAGGTGAAGAGGTGGTAAGTAAGGAAGAATTATGTCCTCTGAAAATTGGTGACTCTCCACAACCCTTCCAGAAGGGCAAGCCCAGCCTAGGCAGAGATAGATGCCCAGGAAGGAACAGAGAAGGAAATCAATGTGCCTTATGGAAATGGGAAGAGTGAAAGAGAAAATAGCTTAACAGAAGGCATCACATACTGATGCTGGCTGAGATGCATGGTTAAACACCTCAGAATAGTTGTGGGGAAGGGAGCAAATCCTAGATCTGGCCACAGAACATGAACAGGGGTCAGAGCTGAATCAGGCCTCTGGATGCAAACTCTAGGGAATGAAGGACTGACATCATTTTTATTAGATCCTTGTTTTCTCAAAACAGGCCTCTGGGAAGGCATGAAGATTACAGAAGCTGGGCATTTGCAGTATTATTCCTGCCGAACTTCTGGTTTCGGAGAATCAGAACAAATTATTTTGTGTTTTTGAGACATGCAGTTCACTATGCAGTTCAGGCTGATCTTAAACTCACTTTTGTAGCCCAGGCTGGCCTTGAACTTTTAGCAATCCTCCTCCTTCAGCCTCCTGAATGCTGGAATTATAGGCTTGGGCCACTGTGCTCCACTGAAAAATCAGAATTTAAACTTGCACTATCAGCCAGTTTTTTCTTCTGGTCTTAAGAAGTTCAATTTGCTATTGCTCTTTTGGTTA